CAACGGCAACCATAATTATTTTATTGTATGTTTACCCAATTTAATGGTGTAAGAATACAACTCAATAATTATTTCCACCCGTAAGTCTTCAATCCCGGTTAAAGGTAGAGAAGGCTTACGGTGTATTTAAAAAGTGTTCTATTTTATGATTATATCAATTTTAGCTCATATTCCTTGTAACAATTATGTTTATGATTGGTCCCTTAATTAAAACTCACAAACATTTCAAATTTATTTATTTTTAAATACAACATCTAAGTAAAAATAAAATCAACAATCCATGTTTAAAATATTCAAAACATTAAGATGGACAATTAATTACACCAACTTCTAACCCCAATGGAATTTAGAAGTTCATAGTTTGAAGCTTAAACAAAAAAATATTTATTACAATAATAAAAATCTTACAAAATGGAAGATGTGTTCTTGAGCTCCAACTAAAATTGATGGTGTTGATGATGATGAAGATGGAGTAATTTTTATGTGTTTGGAAGAAGAAAGTGGTGAGATATTAGTGATGGAGGAGGAGAATTTCGGACTAGAGAGAAGGAAGAAAATGGGGGTTCCAACCTCCTTGAAGAAGAGAAGGGAGTGGATTTTATAGATAAATTCGTATATATGGAGTATATACGAATAGTTACAATTCCAGTCAATACAGCTACAGTAGCGCACATGGAAATGCAGCTGGTTGTCTTGCCGTGTCACCCGTGTTCGAAGCTTCCCACCGTTCACTATTTTGTCATTTTTCTCTCTGGATCAATGGCCGACTTTCAGTTAAGAACATTAACCCTGTTCGCCAGTGATATGCCGAATAATCAGGTTCGGCGCGATGGTCAAAGCTCCGGTTCCACATGCCGCACGTCCAGAGTTTGAATCCCAGGGCTGTTTTATGCTTTATTTTTGTTTGATTCCTTCATTCCTTCAAGTTTCTTCCATTTATTTTGGTCCCAAACTTCCATGTTTATTTTCCGTGCTTGCAATTGTCCTAAATGCATCCAAATGACCTCAAAATGCCTGCAAAACATATAAAACCAAGCATAGGACTGCTCTACCAAAATAAAACGGAAAATTGGAACAAAATATAAATATTAAATTCAATTGGGACTCAAAACTCCTTCAAAATATGTCTAAAAAGTGTATAAAATATGTGCATATCAGTAGTTCATGACAAAACCCTTATACAGCTCAGGGAGCGACTGCAGGATCAGGTGCGTTGCCAACTCCTTCTGCAAGGAGAACCCGAGTTTCCCAGATTGGTTATGTAACCAATCATTTTGAGAATGTGCGGACCGACCGGGTTCCCTGAAGAGAGCTTGCAACTAAAGAGAGCCTTACTCACGAGAAAACGTTCATGCCTGGATTGCCCCTAGTATAGCTGCCGCAAGGCCACGATCATCTCGTGGGCCTTCATGTCCTCGTGCTGTTTTTGCAGCTCGGGTATCATGGTAGCCAGCATGACACAGCTAACCTGGTTGTCATCCTTAACGTGTTTCTCGTAGGCATCTTTGACCGCTTTCAGGGCGTTAGCGGGAGGGGCAGGAGGAATGGGCTTTTCGAGCACATACTCTTTCTCATCCATGCGGAGAACAATGCAGAGATTGCGTTGCCAGTCAACAAAGTTTGTTCCGTTCAATTTATCTTTATCCAGAATGGAACGCAGGGCGAGGTTGTTTGTGTTGTTGTTTGCCATCTACAGATTTGTTTTGCGAAGATAGTTATTATCATGAATTAAGTATCTAATAGGTCTTTATTAAATACTCTCCCACTATTTCTAACAAGTCAACTACCCTCAGGTACGGAACCTATTGACTTGGGGTTTCTATTTGAAGAATACCCTAGCGGGCCAAGATCCATATTTTATTTAACTATAGTTGTGCTTTGCATCTTGCCCTACAGTTAA